CCTGGCCCTCTTCCGTCCTCACCACCACGGAGCGCGGCGTCTCAGCTGGCCTTAGAACGACTGCTGGTGTCAAGGTCTTTTCATGGGTATCGTACGTAGTCACCCTCTGGCCAGGTGATAGAGGTGGTAGGTGCCTGGATCGGCGATTGTAGTAGATCCTCTGCTTTGGCGGATTTCGTGGAGACGGTTATGGACGGCTTGGTCGGGCACAGTTTCCGGCAACAGGTGGCTTGTGGGTACGGGCAGCAGGGTCCTCGTCTGCCTTCTCATCAGTCTCTGCACAGGGGATTTCAAAACAGAATCTCGCGGTGTATTACGCCATTCAAGCAGTGCCATGTGGAAATCAGGCGTTCTAAGAGAGCACTTCTTTAATAGCTTTTTTGTTTCTTGCAAGGTCCTCTCTGTCGTACCATTTGAGCGCGGATAATATGAGCTTGCCGTTACGTGGGTAATGCCGAGCACATATAAAAGGTCTTTAAATTCTGTGCTGTTAAATGGCGGCCCATTGTCACTGCACAGTTTAAGCGGTAATCCATGAACCGAAAAAAGTTCTGTGCACCAAGAACTCAGCTGATTAGCAGTGGTATGGCGAAATTCCCTTATTTCAAAAAAGAAGGAATAGAAATTGACAATAATAGCAAACTGTGGGCCCCCGCAAAAGAATAGGTCCATTCCTACAGCTTCCCATGGCAAGTTTGGAACCTCATGGCTCAAAAGCGGCATCTTTGCGTTTCGGGGCTGATGCTTTTGGCACATTTTGGAGTTTCGGCAAAATTGCTCTATGTCGCTTGCCAGGCAGGGCCAGAACATGACGCTTCGTGCCCACGCCTTCATCTTATCGGCTCCGCTCACTGTCCTCGGAAAATGCGACAAAGCATCAGCAAGAAAAAGATCTTTGCCTGGCTTATAAACCAGCTTTATTGGATAGCGCTGCAAGGTCAGCCTCATGCGTTACAAGCGAAGGGGACACTGATGCAGCGGCTTGTTAAGTATTGGTACTAAAGGCCTGTGGTCGGTCTCTACAATCACTTCTGCCTGACTAAGAACATAGTCATGGAACTTCGTGCAACCATGCACTATCGCCAACATTTCCTTCTCAATATTTGCGTAGTTTTGTTTCGCCTCTGTGAGTGACCGGGACGAAAAAGCGATGGGGCGGCCGTCTTGCATGAGAACTGCGCCGACTCCTAATTGGCATGCGTCAACCGAGAGAATGAAAGGCTTTTTAGGGTTGAAGAAAGCCAAAACGGGTGCTTTCGTCAAGGATCGACGCAAGGTCTCAAAACTCTTTTGCTGCACCTCAGTCGAAACTCATGCAATGTCTTTACGCAATAGTGTTCGAAGCGGAGCGGTTACTTGTGATATGTAGGGAATGAATCGCTGCACGAAATTCATCGTACCAAGAATTACCTGCAGTTCTTTCTTGTTCGTCGGTTCCGGTATTCCAAGTAAGTCTTGTACCCTCTCCGGATCAAGGCGTAGACCTTCTGTAGTGAGTATGTGTCCCAGATACCGGACCTCCGGCTGCAGAAACGCACTCTTCTTAGGGTTAAGTCAGAGGTTGTGCTGTCGACACCAGGATAACACAAGTTTTAAATTGCAGTCGTGCTCTTCTTTAGCTCTGCCCCATACTAATACGTCATCCATCACAACCGCCACAAAGTACAATCCTTCCAAAACGCGGTGCATTTCTGCTTGGAATACTTCTGGGGCCGAAGCTATTCCGAACGGCATGCGAAGGAACCGATAGCGACCATATGGAGTGCTCATGGTGCAAAGTTTGGAGCTCGACTCGCTAAGCCGAGTTTGCCGAAACCCTGAAGCTGCATCAAGCGTAGAAAAGAATGTTGCTCCGGCAAGCCTAGGAGCGACATCCTCTAACGTTGGCATGGGATAGTTTTCACGGAGTATGGCTTGATTGAGCGATGTTGGATCTAGGCAAATTCGAACTTGGTCTCCTTTAACAACGGTAATCATATGGCTGGACCATTCTGTAGGCTCAGTTACCTTTGTTACGACGCTCTGATCCTCCATACGCTGAAGTTCCGCTCTAGTCTTGTCCTCCAGGGCCACGGGGACTCTTCGAGCTGGTACGACGACACCCACGGCGCCGGGCTTGAGTTTTATTTCGTACTCGTAGTCTTTCAGCTCACCCAGTTCTGTGAAGACATCTGCGAAAGGTTGGGCTGGCTGATAAAGTTGATCGACATCAATGTGCTGTACCCGGCGGATAAATTCAAGGCGTTCGGCTGCTGAACTACTCAGAGTCACTGGTAAACTTTGCTCTATAATGTAGAATGTTTCGTGGATCACCCTCTCATTGGCTGAAAGCCGCAAGTGCACTTTTGGCTTGGCAGTTGTCTTGTGGCCGAAAAATGATGTTAGCACGACCCGGCAAGCCTGCTCTGGTAGATCCGGTAGCTTTGCAACGTTTCTCATTGACATTACGCAACAATTAGCCCCCGTGTCTAATTTGCAAGTCATTGGTTGGCCTTCAATGTCCACCGTCGCGCTCCAGTGGTTTGTGTTGACCGTGCTCACCGCTAATGTTTGCAGAAAAAAGTTGCCGTCTTTTGCGCATAGTTCCCGTAGTTCTTTCTTCTTGCAAGGAACGGTTCGCGAAGGCGTTGCCGATTCGCATGCTCGGGCAAAGTGGTTAAATCATCCGCACCTATTGCATGTTCTACCGGTGGCGGGGCATCTTTCGCCGCGGTGTGCGCGATAGCCGCATCTGCCGCAGGCATCTCCTTTCTTTGCGACTGCGTTAACTGCCGTGTCCTGCACTGTCTCCGCGGCTTCACTGATTTCATGAAACTGCTGTTTCCCTTGCTGTTGCGTGCGACAGATGTGGATAGTCTTCTTGAATGAAGGGTTTTCCGCAATCAGTTTCTGCTGCAGGTTCTTGTCACGAATACCCAGAATAATACGACTGCGCAGCGTCCGGTCTTCCGTGACCTCAAATTCACAGTTTGTGGCTAACATTCGTAGCTCCGTCAGCCACTCATTGAAAGGTTCGCCTTCCCTTTGGTTTCTGGACCCAAATAGAAATTCATGATAGGTCAAGTTCGTTTCTGGCTTGTAGAACTCTTCAAACTTGGCAATTAAGACGTCTACGTAATTTTTGTTCTCTTCAGCCTCGAACGTGAAGGTGCTGTACACCTTCCTTGCCTCTTCGCCGATAATCACTAGCAACGTGGCTGCTTGCACTTCTTTCGCTTGTTTTGTCAACTGGGTAGCAGTGGAAAATAGCGTGAACTCACTCTTCTAAGTTTTCCATGCAAGCCAGGTGTTGCCCGATGTGTCCAGTGGCTTTGGCGGCGGCAAGATTGTTGACGGCAAAATCGCTGGCGGCGTGGCCTTTTCAGCTAGGCACCGCTGCCACCATGAGCGCGGGCCTACAGTCGGGTGATGAACAACGTTTATTGTCGTTGAAACGAAGTAGATATAGGCAAGAATGGTGACGTAACTGGTCACGTGATTTTACCAAAATAGTTGGTGACGTCGGAGTGACTCAGCCATGCTACAACATGAAAATCATCACATGCTTGTTTTGTAACAACATTACTACATGCCACACTTATATTGTGCTCGCGGCCGCTTCGCTAGCTTCGCACATATCAAATTTGGTATTACGGAGTGTGATCGGATGTCGGAGGTATGTAAGTGATAAAAACATGGTAAACATGAGATGATTGTTTTGTAAAAAAAGGACTAGATGCTACGCTCATGATGAACTCGTGGCCATTTTGCTAGCTTCACATGTACCAAATTCAGTATTACGTGACATAATAATCATGACATGCATGTAATGTAAAACATGGCATGCCACAATCATGATACGCTGCGTAAGCGCCACGGTAGGCGGGAGTGTGACTCGAAGCTGGGAGAGCGTGTACTCATGCGTCGTGCACGCTCATCCGCAGGACTATGCCGTATCGCCGCCGCGTTCGTTATAACAAGAGCCCCTTTCTCGCTACAAATACTAAGATCGAACGGTCGTGGTCTCGTAACGGCCAGCGCCACTAACAGACGAGCATGAGAAATTGTATAGGGGGAATAGAGGCAGGTCACTCACATTTGAAAGAAGAGTCAATTCCACTGGAAGATTCAAACACAAAATAAAAATGACATTTTATAGTCTGTCACAGACTTCACCGAACACACTCAGAAATTCATGAAGTGTCTTTCAATTTTGCATCCTCAGTGCTTGGTATTTCGACATGCACTGTCGGCCACAAAAGCTTGCGGGATCTGTAGTTTCTGGTGGAGTGGTAAAAACTGCATTGCTGTGAAACCTACCAAGACGCGGCACGGTGTTGAGGTTATTGAGCCCGGCTTCCGAGAATAGATACAACAGTGTCTCATTGTCTAAACGCATTATTGGTAATTGCCGATAATCCTTTACCTACACAAAAACCGTAACGTGATCGTGTAATTACACCTAGTTCTATTGCCCCTAAGACAGTCTTTTCACACTGAGGAGATACAGTTTTTGACAACGTATATGAAGGCATGAATGTTACATGCATCTTTTGAATTCGCTGTGCTTCAAAACTCTCATTTAATAATTTATGTTATTTTGGTCAACAATTCTGTGCGTTCCTATCACGTGTCCAACGAAAATGAATTTGCGACAGGCTTAGAGTGACACAGAATCTCACAGAAAAACCCTGTAGGCCTACCTTTCAGAGGTGCTGGTAGATCAGGTGGTCAACTTAGGAAATGCATCCGGAAGCTTACGTCTTAAGCTCTGTACTTAAGAGGTGGCATATTCTTGCAGGGCATTATTATTGCGCTCCACAATATGTTCTAGGTCACTTATTGATATCGAAGGAACTCGGGTAGTGAACAAACTAGTACCAGCAATTAGCACTCTGTTATATGCCCCTTCCTGCATTTACCGGCGCAAGTCACGTACTTGGCCCGATGAATGCCTTTTAACTCAGAACCCACCAGAGCTTCAATCTTACTGATCGAAATTGACTCACCTACGCTGTTAGATTGCTCCTGACACTGTGGTACACGTGTGGAAGCCGCCGCAAAACGAGGAGTTAGCCTTGGTAACATCTGCTGGCTACAAGGCTCTTCTATCAACTTGTTGGTACCTGGACCACATATCGTATGGTTCTGACTGGAAGAAGTACTATGCCTGCGACCCTCACAATTTTTCAGGTTAGTCCACTTTCGCAAATTATTGTTATAAGACGGATTAGCAATAGGAATACACGTAAAATTCTTGACTAGCGACGTGCGAATATCAAAATATTGGATGTGAATGTGGAAAGCAATTCTTGAAAGGTTCCAATGATGTAGAAATTTTTTATGTGCGGAAAAACTGGAGAAGTGTATGGCCATTAGCATTGATGTTGTTGATTTATTTTATTCTCCATGCGCAGTTGATGACGTGTGTCAAGGCGTGTATCCACGACGAGAATGATGAAGTGGGCGTACAGGGGTCGGGTAATCGCATAAGGTCTCGTGTAACCTCGGGTCTTTGCGATAATTTTTTCAGTGGCATGGACAATGTTTTGACCTAGGGTCAGATTGGAATGGTGACGAAGATTTTTCGATACGTGGTTTATTATTTGAATTTGTTGAAAAAATTTTTTTTCGCAAACTACAAGATCAACATAGTGAAATGCTTCAGAGAAAGGGGACAAGGCCTTACGTTTACGTATGAAAGTCATGTAAAAGGGGCTATAATTTTTAGATTTCTCTTTTACGTTTTATAATAACCACGTTTGCTGGGAGTTTTCCCCCAGATACAGAAAGCTGTTGCTCAGTCGTTCTTCGAGTCATGTGAAAACTGTAAAATTTGGCACAGATTTGAACACCATTTCTTCTTCAATATCAAAGTCTTGTGCCCACAAAATGTCCTCAAACCTTGTTTCTCAGGCTCGGCGTCCAAAACATGCAGGCTTCCCCACGATGCCATTCTTTCTGCAACGCTAAAAGTTTTGAACAAAGTAAAAACTGTTCAAGTAGGCTAGTGGTGATTTCTCATATATATATATATATATATATATATATATATATAAGGTGCTTCCCATCTCTTAAAATTGATTGCCGACAAGTTCGACGCAGACGTTAATTTTCCGCCAAAAATAAGCTCGATAGACCATAATTGATAAGTCATCGTCGAGTGTGAATATGTCTTTTACCAGTACGAGCAGATCCAAGTACCGCATGCCGTTTGTCCCTGCATAATTAGTGTTGTCTATTTCATTCCGCTGTCATTAAGTAAGATTTATGTGGAGAAACGGGGTGATGTCTCAACGTACGCCTGTGTGAGCCCCATAGCTTTTTAATGGTGCGTCCTTTTCTCATTTGTCTGCCCACTGTGCCGCTTGCGGTTACACCCGAAAATTTTGCCGCAAGACCATGGTTTCCAGGCACACTGAATCTCGCATAGGAGAAAAGTGAAAGCTTTCGCTATTAGCAAAATGATGGCTTGTGTGTTAGTGCACCGTCAATTTCAATACTGAATCACGAGCTGACGTATTTGAAAAAAAAACTTGAAGCTTTTACACATGCAGTCTTTTGTCACGTGCATAGGCTGCGCGCGCATGTTTTGTTCTCCTTTCGTTGCTGTTCTTTTCCATTTCGCTTTATTATTGCAATCAGCTGTCAGCCAGTGCTCACATTGCTCAGATCTTCTTTCTATTCGTCACTGCGTTTATTATCTATAGACAAGCACAAATATTCAATACACTAGTTATACAAGCGTATCAACATTGAAATATTTACACATTCACACCTAGTAACCTTATCGGCCCAGTCGCCATCTCTAGCGGTGTGGCTGAATGTGACGACAGGTAGTGACGATACCACAGGTTCTTCAGCAGGGTTCACGGGTGGGCGCGAGAAAGTTTCTGAAGCAGAAAACTGTCCGGCGGCTGATCTCGTTCGCGACCCGGAACCGTAGTCTGCACTAGGCACCGGTTGCGCTGCGGGAACACTTGCCTCCACAAACGCTGGCTGCCAAGTTGCAGCGAGAAATGTCGCATCCAAGGGATCGTTATGGAACGACGTTTCACGCCCTGCAGATTGTTGCTCATGGCCATTGACGCCAGGGCGCCGAGCAGTCACCTTGGATAGGTTTGTCGCGTTTCATAGTTTGCGTGAATGAAGGTTGCTGGCCCACACTGCTCAATTACTTTATTTGGTTTCGAGAAAGAGATATCACTTTTGAATGAAACCGATGGTTTCTGCACCCGCACTCTGTCTTTTACTAAACGTATAGCCGCTTTAGCTACTTGCCTCCTGTCTGTGTAGGCTTTCCTGTACTCTTGCCTGCGCATAAATGACGCGTTATATATAAATGACGCGTTACGAGCCATACAGGCTCGTAAAACAGAGTGTCCTGAACTCGCCGCCATGGCCACAGGTGGCGCTTACTAAAATGTCCACGTTTAAATTCACATATAAACCCTATAAAACGGCTGGGGAAGTAGCCGCTGTGATAGCCCAGTGGTAGGGCATTGAACGTGTTATTCGGAGATCGTTCGTTTAATTCCTGCTCATGGGAAGTTAATTTTGACCCACTTTTCTCCTATCCATTGCTTGGCATTATTGTCTGTTAGATCTCATTATATTTTAGCGGGTCTAAGAGAAAAAACACCAAAAACTAGTTTATTATGGACGAACTTGTTCCCTGAAAATTATGGGCAAGAAAAATGAAAAAGTCTGCTAGAGCACTCCAAAACAAAAACTGCTATGCCGCCAACGCGCCTTCTTCTTCTTCACAGCTCAAACACACACTGACTCTTGCCCGTGAACAAGAGGCATAAGTCTAACGGCCACAAGCAGGAGTGCGCACAAGACTGTGGACGCTGATTCTTTATAATATCGAATAGTGTAATTACTCTCTGTGACATTAGTCTCCCTTCGACATACGCATCATCCCTTTGCGCGATGGAGGGAGGCAAACAAAAAAGGAGCTTTTTTATTGCCTCTCATAATAGGGCTTCACGCGAAAGACGTGCACGACTTCTGCGCTGTTTTGCCGCTTTGAACGGATGTGTCCATCGGCAATTACTTTGTAGTTTAGGCCACTGATTCGTCGGAGAACCTTATAGGGGCCAAAGTACCGACAAACAAGCTTTTCTGATAGGCCGCGGCGCGGATTGGTGTTTATATCCGCTCTCGCTCGCCTGGGTTGTACTAGACTTTTCTGCAGCACAGGTTGTAATAGCTTGCGTCCATTTTTTGCTGTTGATGTATTCGGTGTCGTTGTTGCGCCAACTGGCGTGCTTCTTCAGCCCTTTGCAGGAAGTCGTGAACTTCAGATGACTCGTAATTGTCGTTATCTAATGGGAACATGGCATCGAGTGTCGTATTGACAGTGCGACCGTAGACCAGCTGAAATGGGGTGACGCGGATGGTCTCCTGCACGGCCGTATTGTAGGCGAAGGTTGCGTATGGCAAGATTTTGTCCCAAAGTTTATTCCTAATGTCAACGTACATCGACAGCATGTCAGCGATGGTGCGGTTCGAGCGTTATGTCAACGCGCTGGTTTCGGGATCGTATGCAGTGGTCTTCCAATGACTGGTGTTAGTCATTATCATTAAGGTCTGCATCTAATCTGCCGTGAACGCTGCTTCTCCATTGGTAATCACGAGGAGTAAGGCTCCATTGCGAATAACAATACTCTGAATGAAAAACTTCCTGACTTCCGTTGCCAGTTCTCGCTCAAGGCAGCCGGTTTCAGCATATCTTGTCGAATAGTCAGTAGCAACTACTGTCCACCTGGTGCTGACATTGGAAACGGTTTGAAAAAGTTCATTCCAACCAGTTGAAATGGAGTCCTGGGAGGCTCTATAGGCGGGAGAAGGCCAGCCGTCTTGAGGGGTGGTGTTTTGCGCCTTTGACACTCGCGACATGTCTCGACGTGATGCTTCACGGACGCTAGCAACTTGGGTCAGTAATACTTCTGATGAATTTCGGCGAATGTTCCACTCGCGCCCAAGTGACCCGCAGACGGTTCATCATGACAGGCTTCTAAGACTTCATGCGTCACGGCTGATGGTACAACGAGTAAGAACGTTTCTTTGTTCTGTTCGAAATTCCCCTTGTAAAGTGCATTATCTCAGAGGCAGAATGGCGATAACCCTCTTTCAAATACGCGAGGAATTTCTTCGTCGTGCCATTCGAGATACTTTATTATTGGGAGCAGTTTCATGCCAGCCTGTTGATGCTCGACAATTTCTGAGGTTTTTATCACACAAAGGAGTGGGAAATACTCTTCTTCTGAAAAAGAAGAACCGACTGGTGAATGTGATAAGCAGTCAGCATCATCATGCTTTCCGCCAGGCCTATATACGATCGTAATGTCATATTCTTCGAGCCTCAGACACCTCGAAAGCCGTCCCGATGGGTCATTTAAACTCGCCAGCCAACAAAGTGAGTCGTGGTCGCGGCCGGCACGGAATGGCCTGCCATAGAGGTATGGCCTGAATTCGCTTACCGCCCATATGATTGCCAAGCACTCTTTTTCGGTTGCAGAGTAGTTTCTTTCCGCTATTGAGGGGGTGCGGCTAGCATATGCTATCACTTTCTCTTTTCTATTTTGCCATTGCACCAGTAACGCACCTAGGCCAAGATTGCTGGCATCTGCTTGAACTTCCGTATCCACGGTTTCGTCGAAGTGGGCCAGGATAGGTGGGGCTTGCAAATGTTTTTTTTTAGTTCGTTGAAAGCACTGTCTTGTCCGGTGCACCAAATAAATGGCACGTTTTCTTTCATTAGTCTTGTCAGGGGTTCGGCAATTTTCATGAAATTTTTCACAAACCACCTGTAATAATAACATCAGCCCCGAAATCAAGTACCCCCTTCTTGTCTTTTGGCTTGGGAATCAGCCTTACGGACAGGTTTGTCCTTGTCCAGGCCAACACCTTGAGCGCTGATTACATGACAGAGAAAACGAAGCTTCTCGAATCCAAACTGGCATTTTGTCCGGTTTAATCGTCAAGCCGGCTGAATGGATAGCCTGAAGTATCAAACGTAGTCGCTCTACATGCTGTTCAAACGTGTACGAGGTAGAGAAACATCCGGCGAAGTCTCTAATGAGGTCTTGAATGATTTTCTTCTCGGCTCATGATAAATTTTGTCTGATTGCAACTCTTTCCGCAACATCGGGCGCAGGTTCCTAAGCCGGTGGCCCTGACACCAA